ATGCCTGTCGCTTTCTTTTCGCTCAGGGGCAAACTTGGATTGTTTTTGCTCTAAATATATGCTGTTGTATTCTCAGTGTGTTGCCTGTTGGGATCTGGACCTTCAAAAGGAGGCCCTAAACCTGGTCAGAGCATATAATTTGGGCTTAGCCTCGGCTTATTTCGGGCATAGCCAGGGTTAAAACCCTCCGCCCCCCCCCCCAAACGGTCCCCTGTAGATCCATGCATTTGTCGTGCTCGCCGCAACCGTTTGACTCGAGGTCCTGGCACTGGCGCGGCAGGTGCCGCACTTGGCGCCTCAGCTGCTGCAAAGTATGCGACGAGCGGAGGCGGGAGGAGCACGCCTCGGAAAGGCCCAGTGGCAACCCAGGATTTCAGAAAATTGGCTGATTCACTTCGGGGCACTCCTGGGCTTTTTTGGAGAAGCCTTCCTGATTTATTTTTGTGTTCTTTGAGCTTCCGAAAACTTGGATTGCAGTGAGAAGCACGGACAGAACGTAAAATCTAGTTCCAACAACGTGACAGCCTCGATTCAATCAGCTCGCCCACGGTCTCTTGAAAATGGCCACGCCCATGTTATTTCTGCCTTAGGGTCTGGAGGCTATTCTGCTTAACGCCAGTCCCCTCCAAGCCAAGCCAAACGCAGGTGGCTCCGGACGAGTGGTCCTTCTGCCATGCCATGGAGGCCAGCAATGCGAAGGGCAGCTGGCAGGAAGCCCTGAGCTACCTGCAGGAGATGCAGGACATGGGCAACCACTCGCCCAAATCGGTGGGCAAAAGGGTAGAATGGGATTGGGGTGGAGAATTTCAGGGGTCCGGCTATGTCGAGACACACCTGCGTGCCTGGGACCCCCAAAGTGAGTTTCCTCTGGTTGCCTCCTGAAAGGGAGACGGTTCACCACTTCTCAGCCCTCGCGGCTCGGAACACTGGTGAAAATGCGAAGGTTCAGACGCGAGCGGGCGCTTAGCTCGTTTGACGGTGATCTACTTGGTTGCCCTTTTTGCGTCCCTTGCCAAACGAGTTCTTTCGCATGATCAGCTTCCCCGACTCCTGTCCTTTGGATGCCGCGGCTTTTGAATGTGCAGTCCAGATTATGGCAAAAGGGGAGGCTAACTTGGATGGTGCAGTGACCGCGGCTAGGAGTACAGACAGAGTCCAGTCATTCCCCGGCGACCGTCCGAAAAACTCCCAGAGGCTTGTGTGCTTCAATGCCCAGGGTTTACTCCGCAGCCGCCCGACAGCCATCAACTTCTGGATTTCGAAGTGCGTTCGTGGCAACATACTCGATCCCCTGCTTGGTTTGTGTTATGATATAGTTTGCAGTTATTCGGTCCCCCAAAGTGAGCTCATCATGAAGTGCAATGTCAAGACTATAACAGGGGAGGTCAGGGAAGTTTCGGGTGGGTGTGCCCTGGGCGCTGGGCCATTTTGCAGCCTTAAGCCCGAGGCCCAAGCCAATACTCCACACGTTGGGCGGTTGCAAAAGTAGCGCAAGAACCTCCACAGGTGTTGCTTTGGTTTGATTGAGGAGAAAGAAAGGCGATTCCTGGTTTGCCTGCTTCAATCATCTACAAGGGCTTTGCCATCTATTTTCCAAATGGTGACCTCCTACAGTGGATGGACAAAATCCTGCACCACCTAAGAAAGCCTGGAAGGATGATTCCCGTGTAAATGCCAACAAAAGCTGGTTTCCCATGGTTTCAAAGTGGTGCGAAATGGATTTCGTCCATCAGGTGACCTCCGGGTGGCTTTCCCCGTTTTCGCGTTGAGAGATGAGCTCGCCGCGCAGGAGAGCTCGGGGCTGAGCTCCGTGGCGCTGAGCGCGGCCATGGTGGCCTGCCAGGCCATGGCTCCCATCCATTCGGTTCCTTAGTCTTTTAGCCTTTTAGTGTTTAGTGGTAGTTTCCATGGATAGGGCAGCCCAGGTTTTGCCTAAGACCTAAGACGCCCAAAGGAGATGGATCTTTTTGGTTCATGTTTGTTTCAAGCCCGGTTTTGCACACCCAGCGGTTGTCAAGGGCACCCCGCCAACAGAGGAATCTCCTACAACGGGCACAGCATGGACCCCAAGAAATCTCATTAGCTTTGTTGGGATTGGGAGCCTTCTGCTGGCAATCGCAGGAAGAAGTTTGACCCACCTTGCCAGGTTTGCCAGGTGCGGTAGAAGTGTTGTGCAGAAGCAGCGGCTGGTGAGATGATATGTGATTTGCGGTTGTTTTGCTGTGTGCAATGCATATCTTAGTCAAAGCGTGGATCTGGAACATTGAGTTTGAGGGTGTTACCCACGAGTAGCCAAGAATCAGAAACTTCGGAAACGGGGCGGTTCTGCAATGATGCGCAGACCTGTCAGACTCGCATGGCCTTTTCGGGGACGGCCCACCTACACCAACGTGGTGGTAGGTGCAATTTTTTGAAGAGTTGCCTGCTGTCAGCTGGGCGGCACATCGCCGGAGCTGCCCTGGGCTTTGCTGCAGCAGTCGCGGCAGCAGCGGGTGGAATTGGATCAGCGCCCGAGCTTTTGACATCAGACAAAGCAGGAGGTACTTTTCGGGCTCAAACCAAAACTTCGGGGGCTTCGTGAAGCCAGGCTAGAAAAACGGTTGCCACTCAACTGGGCCGTGGTTTAACCAACTGGTTGGTTTTAGGGTGGGTCGAGATTTAATTTGGGATGTGTGTTGTATTTTGGGAATTTTTGGCCCTCCTTTTAGGGTTCCATCTTCGGATTCCGCGAAGTCGGCACGCATATGATACTCTCTGGTGGTCCTTTTGATCCGCGTGCGCCTGAGGCGGGCCTGCACCTCAGCCATCACCGCCTTGGGCGCCGCCAGCTGCCTGCCCAAAGGGTCGCCAGGGCGAGTCATAACGCATGTCATAGGCGCAAGACTGCTTGGTTCGGTCAGTTCTGCACCAAAGTTCACCAAGGCTCCCAATGCAGCGGTTAACATGAACCAGCTTCTGGACTCCTCCGCCGCGCGAATGAATTCCTGGAACCCCGAACGGCCACTTTTTTTTTCCCGGTCAACAGGCGTATTTGGCCTGTTTTTGCCCGTAAGGTTGTTTTGTTTCGGTCATTTGCCTCATTTGGCCGTATTTGGCCATATAAAACCCGTATTTTGTCGAACATATATAGAAAACCAACCGAAGAAAAACCTATTTCGCCGTATGACCTTTTTTTTTGGTAAAGCCTTTTGACCAGAAAAAAAAACGCCTTTTGGGGCTCCAGGTTGGTAACTTCTTTGCTTCGGATGCACTGTCGCATCCCACTTATTGTCACAGATATTTGCGCACAGCTGGGAAGGCAATATACAATTGGGTTTTGCCTGTCAGCAGGGTCCATATTTTTGACGTGTGATTCCAAGTGACAGTTGGCTGGCCGTCCAAATAATTAGTGTCCAAATAGTGCAACGGGTGCCCTAGGCCAGTGAATCGGCGTAGGAAATCGACGCCTGCGTCATAATCCCCCCCCCCGCCCCGCACGCCCCCATCCCCCAAAAAATAGTAAAAGGAGAATTCAAAGAATTATTCTTTCTACTATTTTTTTCCAACAGCAACACAACAAACAGAAAACAAAATCCAGAACAACAAGCAAACAAAATAAATAATCACAACCAGCAACAAAAATATTTAATCACAGCATGCAACATTAAATAATTCAAACAAGCATACCAACAAAACAGCAACACTCTAAATCATCAAAGACACTCAACTCAAAAACACACATCAACAAAAATCAAAGCAACATACTAACAAAAAATATCACAAGAGCATCAAACAAAACAAAAACAAACAGTCAAAGCACGAAAAAATTAAAGAAGCATGCCAAGTCTAAACAACGCACTTTGAAAGAGATAAGCAAATTATAATAATTCAATCTTTACAAACGATAAATATATTACAATTATAACATATAATAGTTTACATGTGATAATCATAGTATGATTAAACCTGTTTTTAGTGTTTCCAGTCTCCTATGTTGTTCCAAGAACTGCTCAAAATGTTTCTGATATTATACCAGATTAAGTTAACGTCATAATCTTTCATTGGTGCTCTTTGTTGTATTAAATAACGCAACACTGATACCAAAGTATAATAATTACAATGCATTGTTGTCATTCCTCCTCTTTCATTAATACTATTACCATTATGTTTAACGAGTTCTTCTTTCATTATGTTTTCGTAAATCTCTTTTATCCATTGATGATTTTGTTCTCCATACTCAGCGAACATATCTGGATATATATCTTTCATTGTTTTATCGTTTTTAATTATTTCAATGACTTGTTTATACGATGGATAGGGATTATCCTTAATGAAACTCAATATTATCTTTCTATCCTGTTCCAGCTCTTTTTCTGTCACTCCTAGCATTGGCATTTTCCTCTTATTATATTAAGTATTTATTCCTTTAAGTCATTTTACATTATAATTATAACATATAAGAGTATACATGTTATTATTATAGTATGGTCATAAGCCTGTTGGCAATGCGTTAAATCACCTCACGCAAAGTCATTTTGCACCTCACGCAAAGTCATTTTGCACCTCACGCAAAGCCATTTTGCACCTCACGCAAAGCCATTTTGTACAAAGCGCCTTTGTAGAAGCCTACTTGATGTCATTGCAACCCAAACTCAAAATCCTTAATCCGTCAACTCATCAAAAATCCAATTATTAAACTACTAGGTATTTTATATAGGTCACGCAAAGCCGTTTTGCACAAAGCGCCTTTGTAAAAGCCTACTTAGTGTCATTACAACCCTAAACTCAAAATCCTTAATCCGTCAAACTCACCAAGATTTCACAAATTAATTCGCTAGGTATTTTATATAAATCGTCCTGCTTATGTATTGTTGGATTGTCTCCCCATTTTTCCTTGTTTCCATTTGGCAGTCTCTGCGCAGTTTCAATATGTTTATTATTCCTGATGTTGCCACAATCCTTTTTACATAATTCTCTAGGTTTCCAAGTTGTAATGTTATTCCAGAGCCTAGTGCGTTTTCTGTAAGGCATTCCATATTTACAATAATCAACATCTTTAAAATCAAACTCATCCATAAACTCCTGATGTTTTAATAATCCAGTTTGTGGATTTTCGATTACAAAATATTTAGGATTGAAATATTTGATAATCTCAATAGTTTTTAAGACAATACTATTTGCATATTCGATATTCCTAATTCCCCTAGTTTTTGCTATGCTGTATTCAGTGCATGGGGGACTACTCCAAATAAAATCAAAATGGTTTCTGTCAAACTGTTTGTAATCCCACTCCAAAATATCAGTGTTGATATCAGCATTTTTCAAGTCTAATGATATCACATTAAATCCAAGCGACTTTGCTATGGTTCCGACGCTTTTTGTTCCGCTAAATAATTCTAATAAATTCATATTATTAGAATTACTTAGATATTAATTATTCAAATAATACATATACTCCATCATCATTTTTTGAAATTTTGTAAAATTCTAATGTTTGTTGCTTTGGTTGTTTGATTTTTCCTGTATTCAACATATCACAATATTTCTTTTGCTTTGTAGGGTAGTCTCCAGTTGGTCTTCCTATAGATTTTGCTTGAAATATCTTTTCGATTTTTTCTTTATCTTCATTGCGTTCAATTGGTTTCATTTTGTCATCAATGGATTTAATCATATCATTTAAGGTTTTGATATTTTTACCAATTAATGTTATCTTCTTCATTAAATCATTAATAGTATAATTCTCATTTTCAGACATTACTATATATTTATTTAGATAATTATTTATTTATATTTATAAAGTGCAATTATGTTAAATCTACTCTTTAAATACTAACTTATGTCCCTGTTAAAACTAACATTAATCAAATGTTCGTTAGTTTCAATAACCATATCACCATCTGTTCTTTTCTGAATATTAAAATCTTTATCTGAGCTTTTATAAGAAAACATACATGGGACACAACTGACTTTAAGTTTACCTTTTCTATCTACTGTCAATTCATTCTTAAAATTCATAACATGGTTACATTTATCACATTTTATAGCCTTACTTTCGCCTAGTGATTTAACACTTTCTGCTGTTTCTTTCCGTGCTTCAATATCTGGCATTGGTCTTTCTTTGTCTTTACTCTTTTTCTTTTTTCCCATTTATATTAATATTTACATTTTTATTTTTGAGATATTGAATTCCTAACTTAATTATTTCTAATGAATAATAACAACATTTTTTATTTTATTGTCAGTAATTATTACTTGTTCTATATTTTCTACTTCATCTATTATATTAATATAATTTGAATAATTCCTATTCATATAAATAATAAGATAAATTATTTTTCATTTCTGTCTTTCTTTCCTTGTACTAGAACTCTAGGAAAAATGGTTCTTTTTCCTAGAGTTGTACAGTTTTTTCATTGTATCGTCTTTATTCCATCTATATTCTACAAATTTCTGATGATGTTTTGAATTTAGATGTTTAAATAAATATTTGCTATCATAAGTTTTACAACAATTACAATGGATAACAGTCATATAATAATAAGATAAAATAATTATTTAGATTATTTAATCTTATTATTTTCATGCATGATAGAATATTCGAGGGCTCAGCACTTGGGGTTTTCATTGCACGCGAGAGAGATACAAACTAATTAGCTTCAATGCTTATTGATTGTAGCAATGGAAACCTGTTCCATTATGTTATTCACCGCCACTCATAACATAACGATGGTCGCGTTAGCACGCGAGGCTCGTTCCTCGCGTCCATTAATATTAAATAGAATATTTATTTAAACTATTTTCTTTAGTAAGTTTTACTGCAGTTGCTATACTAACATCTAGAATATTATTATCAATAACTTCTTGTACACTATTTATCATTTCATTTGTATATGTATCGGGATAATCTTTCATAAAATTTACTAACTTTCTAAAATTAAAATCTAGGTTATTGTCATTTTCAATTGCGGACTTGGATACTACGATATTTTGATTTTTAATTGCAGATAAAAAGTATAACATTGTATCATAATATATTTGTTCAGTATCTGGAACTAAGATATCACCAAATTTATATATCCTCCGAATACTAGCCACTTCACTTAAATTAATAGATTCTATAGCCATTATGATATAATTATATTATATTTTTTTATTTTATATGTATTTATAATATTATTTTTATTATGCCTGATGTAAAACCAATTGATGAAATCAAATATGACTTTAAGCAAAGCAAGCACGAGGTCGTCCCTAAATTGCCGATGAGAGCTATGATCGTCGGTCCATCTGGAAGTGGAAAATCAACTTTACTTGTATCAATGATACTTGATATTTATAGAGGAGCATTTGAAAGAATTTTTATCTGGTCTCCATCTGTAAATTTAGATAGTATTTGGTTGCCTGTTAAAAAATACATTAAAGAAGGTTTGAAAGTAGATAATGATAAAGAACCGTGTTGGTGGGATGAGTTCAATGTTGAAGATTTAGAAAGAGTTATAGAAACTCAAAATAAAATAATTGAATACCAGAAAAAACAAGGAACGAAGAAATTATTTAATATTTTGGTAATTTTGGATGATGTATCTGATAATCCAGCAATAACAAGAAATAACAAATTGTTAAATTCTTTATTTTGTAGAGGTCGTCATAGTGGAATATCAACACTTGTAAGTCTTCAAAAATCATCAACCGTACCACCAATTATTAGGGTAAATATAAGTCATTTGTTTTATTATAAAGTTAGAAATTTTAAAGAGATAGAAATATTGCAAGATGAATTATCAGCAATTGTTAGAAGCGATAATTTACATGAAAGCAAGAAACTAATTTATAAAATATATGAGACTG